CACCCAGGCCCCACCGTGGGTAAACGTGGGTCCCGGAAGTCAATTCAGGTGCTCACAGGACAAGTGTCCTGCGGGCAACGTCCCCTGGCCATGTCTCTGCTGAAGACAGAGCCGGGAGGAAAGTGCCAGGGCGCTCTTCTCGTGGGATACGAAACGTAGTGAGGTACTCAGAGTGCGTCACGGCGGTGGAGGCTAATGCAGGTTAACGCTTGAACACTAGCGTGGCCGAGGAGAGGAGCCTGGCCCACGGAGATCCGGGGAGACGGCACCAAGTGGCAGAGTGTCACACACCGAGGCCCCAGGGCTTGAGGGTCACCACCGGAAGAGTTGTGGGGAGGCATGTATGGAAACCAGAGTGCCCTTTCGCCCGAGGACCAGGGCAGGTCCAGCCTCTCTAACCGAAGGTTAACAATCAGGGCATCTACTCCTCTGTGGCTGGTCTGTCTCTGTGCCGCTCAGGGTGGTTGAGTCTACTCCATGCCTGAGGCTGCATGTAACCCTGGCATGGGACAATGGGAGACTCCCTGGAGAGCTCCCTGGAGGATGAGGCTGTGCCCTGTTTAGTTAGCTTGAAGGTGGAAAGGCCGAAGGAGTTCAGGGCAGGGAAGGCCAGCCTGATGGCTAAGGCTAGCTTAGGGCTGGCAGCAGGCTGGGGAAGGCCTGGAGTGTCAGGTCTGAAGGTGTCAAATACTAGGAGCCCAGGAGAGAGGGGGCAGCAGACAGGTGGCGGGCAGCCCCACGCCGGAGGCCTCATTGGGGGAAGGGCTGCCGGGCAGTCTCCTCTCCAGCCCTGGTGACCACCCCTTCCCCTCCTGGCCAAGGTCACCATCAGCACTTTCCTTTCATTTAGCCGCAGGAATGTTCTGGGCGCTGGGCTCCACGCCTGACCAGCTTGATCCCTTTCATTGCTGTCCTGCTAGACACTGGAGCTGCCCAGGCTGTGGAGGCATGAGCAACAGCCCCCCCCATCTCCTATCCCTGCCAGATCCGCCCTGTCCGCTGGGTGACCTTGGGACTGTTGCATAACCTCTCTGGGCCTTGGAAAAACAAAACTGGAAGCCAAGGCTTGGGCTTGGCTGTCACTGGATTCCCATTATCTCATCTGGAATTGAATTATCTCAGGAGCTAGGAGACGACGCCCTCCCTGGTCCTCAACCACCCACACACAAGGATGGAGCCCAATCCCCCTAAATGCTTTAAAATTATCCCCAGAAGGTGCGGCTCCTCGAGTGGGCATAGGGTATCCTGTGACAGCTCCCAGCAGGTGCCTGCTGTCCCCAGAGGCACCAGGAGAGGCTCAGAGACCACAGGTCCCTTTTCCCAGGACACACAGCCCACGGTGCAGCTTCCAACACACTAAATGTCGCTGTCTCCGAGCGAATGAAGACCTGAGGAGACACAGCCTGTTTTCCGGCCCCGCCAGAACCCGAGGGTCATTCCAAAGGGGTTTCTCTCAGTGTCTTATTGTGTTTTCCCCACTATGCAGCCCAAGCTGGCCTTGAGCTCACTGAAAATTCTCCCGCCCTGGCTTCCCAAGTGCAGGGCTCCAGCCACTATGCTCAGCTCCGTTTGCAGACACATGCACACGTAAAATAAAATCAGTATTTTCTTTCTTCAAGGCAGGGTTTCTCTGTGTAGCTCTGGTTGTCCTGGAACTCGCTCTGTAGACCAGGATGGGCCTGGAACTCACAGAGATCCACCTGCCTCTGCCTCCTAAGGGATTAAAGGCTTTTCACACCACGTTCCAGCTTATTTTTAGTTTTTGAGATAGAGCCCCCACATAGCCCAGGCTGGCCCCAAACTCCCTAATAGCTAGGCATGACCTTGAACTGACTCCCCAGTACCCCAGCCTCCTGCCTCCTAGGGGAGCCCTCAGCCCCATACTTCTTTTTCACTATGTATTTGGAGACCCGGCTGGCTTTCAACTCACTGTCCTGCCTCTCCTGCCGAAATCACCGGCAGGGGCCCTGAGATATGACTTGGGCTTTCGTGTTTTGCATATTTCTCCCCTCTTAACCTTCACTGCCTGCTGTAGACCCTTCCCAGAGAGATGCGTGGGCACACCAGAAACTAAAACGGGACAGGAGGCAAGCGTCCTCCCACCCTCCAGCACCCCCCACCCAAAGCTAGTGGAAGCCTTGCAGCCCCCCAAGCTCTGGGCCGGGGGTGGGTGCTCAGCGCAGGCCCCGCCTCCACACGCAGGGCCTCGCGTTGCCATGGGGACAGCGAGGTTGCCAGGGCGACCGCCTCCCGCGGGCCCGCCATCCATCACAGCAGTGGCGCCCGCCCGGAGGGTAGGGAGGGGTGCGGGAGGGGCTCAGCTGAGCGCTGGTGCTTGTGACCACGCGACAACAATCTGGGGATGGAACGGGCAGAGGGATGGAAGTTGACTTCTCGGGACGACTGAGAACATTGTCTCTTATGTCGGCTGGCTATTCGCCTGACTTTCGTCCGCTCTGGCGGGGGGACAGCCATCAGGCTGAGGACACTGACTGCCTTGTCTCTACCCGCCCACCGGCCACACAGCTGTCCCTGTGCCCGGCCTGAATGGCCACCTGACTCTTTGGTGGGGGGAATATCACACTGGATGGGTAGCTCCACATGGCCCTTTTCCCCCCCTCAGGGCCTTTAATCTTTTAAATTTCAATTTTATTTTTATAATTCATTTATTTTTATTTTATGTGCATTGGTGTTTTGCCTGCATGCATGTCTGTGTGACTGTGTCAGATCTTGGAGTTACAGACAGTTGTGAGCTGCCGTGTGGGTGCTGGGAATTGAACCCTGGACCTCTGGAAGAGCAGTCAGTGCTCTTAACCTCTGAGCCATCTCTCCAGCCCCTCAATTTTGTTTTTAAACAGAGCTTCACTGCATAACTCTGACTGGCGGGGAACTCACTATGTGGCCAGCTGCTGCCTCCTGGGGCCCTTGGTGCCTTGGCTGCAGAGAGGACCCTCTCGCCTCGGCCCTCTTCCTCAAATGGAGCAGAAGGAGGGATGTGGGGTGGGCTCTGCTGCACAGGATGTGGCCTTCCGCCTTGGGGAAAACTCACCAGACTGGGAGACCAAGAGATGGGTCTGGGTAGAAGCGACCTGTGCCTCAGTGGTTAGAATAGACTGAGCGGGGGGGGAGCCCCAAGAGTGAGCAGGTAGGTATGGGCTACTGCACCAGGTGGGGTCTCTCGAAAGGGGTGACGATGAAGGAGAGAGGTGAGAGATGGGTCTGGCTATTGCTGTGAGAAGGTAGTTTGGGTTGTTGGGTAGACAGGCGGCTGCTGGGAACAAAGAGCAGGGATGGGCAGGGGCAGGGACACCGGGGCTGGAAGGGAAAGAGAGCTGGGCCTCCAGAGATCAGCCAAGCACTCCCCAGGATGCTATGCCAGGTCCACCCAGCCGAGCTGAATCCCCACTGCTGAGGACAAAGAGAGGAAAACCCAAGGCTAACCCAGGGGACCAGGGACTTAGAAGGCCCAGACCAGCTTGGGCAATTTAGTGAGGGGGCAGGCCCATTGATGGCACAGCCTTTAATCCCAGCAGGGAGGCAGAGGCAGGCGGATCTCTGTGAGTTTGACGTCAGCCTGGTCTGCAGAGCCAATTTCAGAACAGCCAAGACTACACAGAGAAACTCTGTCTGGAAAAAAACAAATCAACAAAAAACCAAGCTGAGTGGTGGCAGAGGAGTGATATCCAAGATTGGCTTCAGGCATCCACTGCTGTGTGTACACACATGTACACACCCATGCACGCGCGCGCACACACACATGTACACACCCATGCACGCACGCGCGCGCACACATGTACACACCCATGCACACACACACACACACACACACACTAAGAAACAGCGCTGGGTCGGGGGGCAGGATGGAGCCCCGCGTGGCTGAGGAGTGATATCCAAGACTGGCTTCAGGCATCCACTGCTATGTGTACACACATGTACACACCCATGCACGCGCGCACACACACACACACACACACACACACACTAAGAAACAGGGCTGGGTCGGGGGGGGCAGGATGGAGCCCCGCCTAGAATCCCCGAGTGAGGGGCTGGGGGCGTGGTCAGGGCGGGGCCCCTGCTTATCAAGGTTCTGGCTTCCATCTCCAGGCCTGTAAAAATAGATAAATCCGTGTGCACTCACACCACCAGGCCCCTGGGAGGCACTGACTTGACAAGGTGCTTCCTGCCAGGAAGGGAGCAGCTGGACAGGGTCACCTGTTGGGGCGTGGGAGCCAGGTCACTTCACAGGCCTCAGTGAGGTCAGGAAACCGAACCCAAGGTGGGGGTGGGGAGGTGCCACTGGCTCCCGGTTGTCTGGATGGACTTGGGGGGGCAGTTTGCTGGTGGGGGCTGCGGGACCTGGCTCCCTGCTTCACTCCTGGGCAAGTCCAGAGCTAGATGTGTCTCTTGCTCTGAGTTGCACAGATGGGGAAACTGAGGCCCACAGAGGTACAGGGAACACTGACTCCAGGGTGTTGAACATGGCTGTAATTTCAGTCTATGGAGATAAGGCATCAGGAAAGGGGGGGGCTGCAGGAGGTGACCGAGAGTCTAACCCGTCTTAAGAACAACGGGAGACAAAACCTTGGCTTTGCTGTTTGTTCTGGGGAAACTCATGCCGTCTCCGGGGTCTTGGGCTGCTTTGAGAGAGACCCTACCGTTTTGTCATTTACTTTGTGGTGTTGGGAGGTTGATGGGGAGGGCGAGGGGAGCCTGATCTTCTCTGTGTCTGACTTAGTTGAGAGGAGGGTCCCTGGGGACCATCCTGACAAGTCTTCTAGTCTGTCCTGGGAGGTGACACTCCCTCTTTCATTTTGCTGCCTGATGACTGCCTGTTTGTCCTTCATGGCCCAAGCCTAATGCCACCCTTTCCCGTACCCTTCCCAGGTCTCTAGGCAGAGCCTCTGAGGGGGCCGGGGGTCCCACCTGGTAGGGGATCTACGGTTGGGGTGGTCCTGGGTTGGCTAGATGGTAAAGGATGGGACTTTGTCTCCTGTATGCAGGGTCCTGGCGACAGACACTGCGTCCCAGCAGGAGCGGCTTCAGGCCATCGCAGTGAGTTCCTCCCGCTGTGGGGTCGTGAGTGGGTCAGGCAGGGTGGGGTTCCAGGATTCCAGATGCACATTCTGGGGCTTGGGAACTCGGGAACAGCAAGCAGAGTTACGTAGGGGTCCCTAGAAATGAAAACAGACAGGTGGGGGAAACTGAGGCTGGCCTTTGTCACAGTCTAGGCCCACGGTCTGCTGATGCTCCTATTTCCCTGGCTGTGGTGGGTACAGTTCCCAGAGGTGTGGGGTCTCCCGAATCGCACTGGGGTGGGTGTGGCCCTGACCTAGTCCACGCTCGCAGGAGAAGCGCAGGAAGCAAGCCGAGATTGAGAGCAAGCGCAGAGACCTGGAAGATGACAGGAGGCAGCTGCAGCACCTGAAGGTGGGTGGGGTGCGGGGTAAGGTGGGGTGCACCTTGGGGCCCGGTCTGTGGGAAACTTTGGGTGCAATTGTGGCCCTGGTCTTTGGGACCCAGGCCCGTGGGGGCTGTTTCTCTAAAGCTGGCCGGTGTAGTTCTGTGTGGGGCCTGCGTGGGACTGCTGGCTTGTGTGACCCTTGGGGTGACTGGGGCTAAGGTCATTGCCGTTGTAACTCTATTTATGACCCACCAGCCTGACCTCAACCCCAACACTGATCCCATTCACAACCCTAACCTTAACGCGGGTCCCAACCCTGGCTTTGATCCGACTGTGGCCCTGCCTGGGTTCTGAGCCGCTTCCCTGCCCCTCCAGTCCAAGGCGCTGCGGGAACGCTGGCTGCTGGAGGGGACGCCGTCCTCGGCCTCCCAGGGCGATGAAGACATGAGGAAGCAGATGCAGGAGGATGAACAGAAGGCCCGGGTCCTGGAGGAGTCCATCGCCAGGTGGGCAGAGGGGAGGGGGCCCTGCTCGGGTGACACAGGAGAGTCCAGGTGGATTGGCCAGGGGTTAATGGTCTGGGCCCGGGGACACTTCTGGAGCCCCCTCCATCAGGGCTGGGCGGGTGTCACGGTGTGGACAATCCCGTGTGCCCCAGTGAGGGTCACACAGCACCTAGCCTCCAGCTGCAGCTAGGGACTGTAGGCAGACCATGACTGAGCCTCCTCCTCTGTGACATCCTGTGTGAGGCCTGGGCAAACAGGAGTCCCCGAGGAAGGGAGGTGCCGCCAGCAGCCTCCCCGAGGGCTTGCAAAGGCTTCCTGGCGCCTGCCCAGCTGGCTCTTGAAAGCCCTAATAGAGACCACAGAGGCTGCTGAGCCTTCAGGAAGCATGGAGGGGACGGGACAGGGAGAGTAGCCTTCCCCATGGGGGCTGGAACAAAACACAAGTGTTTCCTGCAGACGGCCGGTGGGGATTTTGGCTTTGAAAAGAGGGGTCGGAGTACAAGGAAATGACTACTATGTGAATTCAGCCTGGCCAGGGGACTCCTCTGTCGGGTTAACTGGGATTTCCCTGACTAATTGGAAGCAGTTTAAAGATTGCATTTGGGGCGCTCCTGCACATTAAGAGAGATAACGGACTCCCCCGGCTTCTGTTTTCCTGATCCCTTTGAGTGTTTTCTGAGGTTTTGGTTTGGTTTTTGCCTGGCTGGCAGAATCAAAAGAATCAAGTCAACCAGGCTAGGACTAGGTTTCACCCTTGGCCACACCTCCAGCCCCTCACTGGGAGATTTTAGGCCAGGGCTTACCTCTGACTGCACACCGAACTCCTCACTGGGGAATTCTAGGAGGGCTGCCCAGTCTTACCTCTTTTTGGTTTTTCGAGACAGGATTTCTCTGTGGCTTTGGAGGCTGTCCCGGAACTCCCTCTGTAGACCAGGCTGGTCTCGAACTCACAGAGATCCGCCTGCCTCTGCCTCCCGAGTGCTGGGATTAAAGGCGAGCGCCACCACTGCCAGACCCATCCTACGTCTTTTTAAAACAATTCTTTGTAACTTTTGCTGTTGTGAACCTGCATCTCTATAGCTCAGACTGACTGACCTAAGCCTGGCGGCCATCCTGCAGTGGTGCGCTTCCATTGCCTGGCTCTGCCCTCATTATTTTTGGGGAATTTGTTTGTTGTGAAGTCTTCTGATGCTTGTGACAGTGACACATATGTTTCCCTTTGTCCCTACAAAGCTCAGCCTTGCTGCCAGTCGTGAGTGGGAAAACAGGGAAGAGGGCTTTGTTTGAAGCAGCTTAGCACACAGTGGACTCAGCCCTGCTGCTTGCGGGCTGGGAGAGTTGCAGGCCCATCGTAGCAAGCCCAGGAGTTGAAACAACGGAACGTAGAGAGGGCTCAGTGGGTGAAGGTGCTTGCTGCCAAGCCTGAGGACCCGAGTTCAATCCCCAGCACTCACATGGTGACCTCCGTGTGCATACACAGACACTGTCTAATGACAAATGTGAAAAGAAAGAGAAGTTAAATTCAAGCCAGGCACTCGGGAGGCAGAGGCAGGTGGATCTCTGAGTTCAAGGCCAGCCTGGTCTACAGAGCGAGTTCCAGGACAGCCAGGGCTCTTACACAGAGTAATCCTGTCTTGAAAAACCCAAACCCTAGATTTGAGGAGCTTCTGTGTGACCTTTGTCCCTTTACAGGCTCGAGAAAGAGATTGATGTCCTGGAGTTTGGAGAATCAGCCCCAGCCACCCCAAAAGAGAACTCTGCAGCCCCTAGCCCGGTCCGGCCCCTGTCCACAAGCCCAGCCAAGGAAGAACAAAAGTCAGATGTCCTGGTGAACTCCCAGCAGGTAAGAGGCCCCTAGTGTGGCAGAGCCCTGAGCGACACCCACAACTTCCTTAGTGCAAGGACGATGGAGGCTGTGTGACCTGAGAGGTATTGCTTGACCTCTCTGGCCTTCAGTTTCCTCTATGTGGAGGCAACTTCCATGTCTGTTTGTTGGCGATTTTGTAGCAGTCTGAGGAAGTAGTGGACAGTGAGGTCTTGGCCCCTGGTGGACCCCACCCTCAGGTTTTCCTTTCTGCTGGGGTTTTTCCCACATTTTTTGTTTCCTTCTTCCTCTTCCTCTTCCTCTTCCTCTTCCTCTTCCTCTTCCTCTTCCTCTTCCTCTTCCTCTTCTTCTTCTTCTTCTTCTTCTTCTTCTTCTTCTTCTTCTTCTTCTTCTTCCTTTTGAAGAAAAAGTTGTTGTGCATTGAACCCAGGACCTGTTTGACAAAGTACCCAACTCTGATCCACATCTTAGCCCAATATTTGTATTTTTTGGTTGTGAGCCTAGCCTAGCTGGGCCATCTCTCCATTCCTAATATTCATGTTTGGTTTTGGTTTTGGTTTTGTTGGGGTTTTCAAGGCAGGGTTACTCTATGGCTTTGGAGCCTGTCCTGGAACTCGCTCTGTAGATCAGGATGGTGTTGAATTCACAGAGATCCGCCTGCCTGTACCTCACGAGTGCTGGGATTAAAGGCGTGCGCCACCATCGCCTGGCCTCTGTATTGGTGTTTTGAATTGCCTGTTTGCATAGTATCGTGGAGTAAATGACTCTGGAGTCACTTCTGTCCTTTCCACCTTTATGTGGGTCCCGGGAATTGAACTTGGGTCTTCAGGCTTGGCGGCAAGCACCTTGCCCTGTGAGCCACCATCTTGCTGACCTGAGTTTTGGATCTTTTTTTTTTAAGGATTTATTTATTTTTATTTTATATGTGTTGGTGTTTTGCCTACCTACATGTTTTGTGAGGGTGTCGGATCCCCTGGAAGAGGAGTTACAGACAGCTGTGAGCAGCCATGTGGGTGCTGGGGGTCGAACCCGGGTCCTCTGGAAGAGCAGCCGGTGCTCTCCAGCCCTGAGTTTTGGATCTTTTGAGACCGTATCTCACTGTGTAGCTCAGGCTGGTCTAGAACTCGAGCTCTTCCTGCGTCGGCTTCAGCCTGTACCACCACACCCAGCTGGCCATGTTTTCTATTGATTTGTTGTGCGGGTGTGATGTCTGTGTGGGTGCGCGTGCACACGGGCCAGGAGGATGTCGTGTGTCTGCCTTGGTTGACCTCCACACGTTATTTTTTTAAATATTTATTTATTTATATTTTAGAGCCAGGGTCTCACTTTGTAGCCCTGGCTGTACTGGAACTCACAGAGATCCTCCTGAGTGTTGGGATTAAAGGATTGAGATACCACACCTGCCCATAAGTCACTTTTTTTGGTTTTTCCAGACAGGGTTTCTCTGTATTGTTTTGGAGGCTGTCCTGGAACTCGCTCTGTAGACCAGGCTGGCCTCGAACTCACAGAGATCCACCTGCCTCTGCCTCCCGAGTGCTGGGACTAAAGGCGTGCACCACCAACGCCCGGCAGATCACTTTTTAAAACCTCCATTTGATGGAGGGAGGGAGGGTCAAAGTTACGGGTCTGACTCCAGGCCACACAACTGGCAGGAGACGCTGGGCTAGGATGAACTCATGGCCTTGTGCGCACTAGGAAAGCGCGCTGCTACTGTCCTGGAGCCCTCTGCTGTTGTCATGGTTTCGGGGGAACAGAAATGACGCAGTCCTGAGCGCTGGCCCCTGCCCGCTGGACACATGCGCATAGACGGGGACCACAGCTCAGAAGGGGAACCAGACCTTATCGTCAGAGAATCCTTGGGCACGGGGAGACACAAAGCATGTAGGTTCATGAGGAGGGTGGGCAGGCGCCCAGCCGCGCAGGCCCATTCTGCAGCTGGGGGATGGATGAGACGAATGGGCGTATCTAATCCCTCCCTCTCTCTTGCAGACACCACTGGGCACCCCGAAAGGTAAGCTTCCAAAAGGGTCATGCGGCCTCTGGTGCCCTCTGATGGCCAGAGGTGGGATGGCGGGTGAGCGTGGCGGGGCCACAGCGCGCTTACAGGTCAGGAAGTTTGGGACCTGAGGCCCTGGGCCAGCCTGTCCACATTCACTCTCTGTGACATCGCCTCCAGCTAGCTAGCCTCTGTCTTAACATCTGTAAAATGTCTCGCCTGTCATCCCAGTGCCGAGTTCATTAAAGCAGTAGGATCTCCCCGGCTCACCGACAAGCCGGCTCAGCCTCCCCAGTGAGCTTGTAACTCCAGCCCCGGGAGACCTGACCTGACTCCATGCACACACAGGCACACACACATCTAATTAAAATACAACAAGCTTAAGAAGTGCCCTCGAGGTGGAGAACAACCGTGAGACACAGGGTGTCTCAACTTAGGGCTTCTATGTGCACATGCCCACTTATGTGCACACCCTCATGAGTAAGTGCACACACACATGAAAACAGAGAGAGACTGCCAGGCGGGGGTGGTGGGTGCGTTTAATCCCAGCACCTGGGAGACAGAGGCAGGTAGATCTCTGAGTTCAAGGCCAGCCTGGTGTACAGAGCAAGTTCCAAAAATAGAGATATATAAATATTATGTATTTGTGTATATATGTCTTATATATAAGAATACTTTTTAAAAACAGAGTCTTGCTGCGTGGTGGTGGTGCACACTTTAATCCCAGCACTCTGGAGGCAGAGGCAGGTGAATCTCTGAGTGCAAGGCCAGCCTGGTCTACAAATCAAGTGCCAGGACAGCTATACAGAAAAACCCTGTCTTGAAAAACCAGCAAACAAAAAACCAGACTCTTACGTAGCCAGGCTGGCTGTAGACTTACCGTGTAGCCAAGGATGGCTCTGAAGTCTGGATTCTCCTGAGTACTGGGGAAGACGGTGCCCGTGTGCCGTTTTGTGCGGTGCCGGGCATGGGACCAGTGACTCCTGCAGGTCAAGGGAGCACTGTGCCCACTGAGCCCAAACACAGCTCTATTCATTCATTTATTTATTTTTGAGGCAGAGTCTCTGCAAGCCCAGGCTGTACTGGAACTCACTATGTAGGCCAGGCGGGCTTGAACTCACAGAGATCACGCCACACATACACCTCTGGCGTGCAGCGCCATGCCCGGCCCATGTTTCTAAGCTCTCTGTTGAGCTTGTGTTTCCTGCCCAGCACAGCTGGCATGGCTGGTGATATGGCCCTAGGACTCTCTGGCCTGATTTATGGTTAATTATTCATAGGGAGAGTGTCTCTCAGTCTTGCTGTAGAATTAAAAATTAATAATTAAAAGAAAATCCAAGCAGGCCTCTTAGAGATTTTGTGAAAGTCATTTTGGGCTTAACAATGAGAAGTCTGTGGGGCTCAACTGGGCTAGCTTTGGGGTGAGGGGCCCCAGGAAGGTGCAGTATTTGAGGTGCAGGTGCATGTGTTGGGGTGTGGGGTGCAGGTGTTGGGGCTTGGAGTACAGGTGTTGGGGCTTGGGGTGCAGGCATTGGGGTCTGGGGTTTCAACTGCGTGTGTCAGGGAGTCTGGGGTTCCAGTACATGCTCAGAGGAGTGTGAGTTTAGACCATTTGCAGGTGTGGCAATGGCTGTAGACAAGGCATTTTGGGGGTCTGGATTCATGCTCATGGAGGGATGTTTTGAGGGGATCCTGCGGTCGGTCTTTTCTCTGACTCCGCCTTTCTCCACCCTGTGCCTGGTGCAGAGAATCGCATGTCTTCCACCCCCGTGCGGACTCCGGGAGGATCCACCATGATGAAGGCAGGTGGGTCTGCCCCCACTCCCCCCCTGGTCTAGCTGCCCTCTGAGACTCTATCTGAGTCCTGGAGGGTGAGGCTGGCAGGGAGGGGTTCACCCAGACCTCAGTACCCATCTGCGCTTTGCTCTGACACGCCCACAGGCCCATGCTTCTCCAAGAAGACGGGCCCAGCATGGGGGCTCTCGCAGCTTCCATTCCTAACCTCAGCCTGGCTACCCGGGGCTGGCACACAGGCCGAACATGCTTCCACATGCCTGAACATGCTTGCGTCATACCCTGACTGCTGCAGGGGTCCCGGCACCACACCAACCTCATGTGGGACCTGATGACTAGCTTAGACAGTGTCCTGGGGGAGGGAGGGAGGAGGGGCCACAGGAGGCCTAGAATTTCCCGCACAGAGCTCAAGTTCAGGAGGCTCCAGATGTTTCTTAATTCAGAAGGCGCCTTCAGAACCACTGTGGTAACACCAGACGTGGCTCCTCCCGTCCCCCCATATCACTTCAGGGTGGCTTTGTACTGTGCACACCCTGCCCAGTAAGCAGGCTGCCTTGCAAGAGTGAGTAGGTTCAGAGACAAATGACTAACAACCCGTTACTTGTTCAACAAATGCACAGGAAGCCAGGCACGGGAGAGGGGGAGTTGGTGTTCTGGTGGGTGCAACTGACTACTCAGTTAATCGGGGGAGGAAAAGGAGGGAGTTATGTTAGGGCCCTGGAGCCCCACGGAGGACCACAGGGCTTACCCACTCGGCCACGTGCTCACAAGTGCCCTCTGGTGGCTGTCCGGAGAACAGACCTAGGGCTGAGGTGGGCCGGGGAACCGTGCCAGGTCCCAGCCTGGGTGGGTGGGGTGCTGTGTGGTCAGCAGGGGAAAGTTCTAGATGTTTCTGGAGGTGACCATGAAAAGACCCAGCCAATGGGGGTGGACATCAGGCTGCAGTGGGAGCCTGGGAACCTGCTCTGGTTCAGTGTGACGTCAGCTTGGGACACTAGAGGAGGCTTGCTGTTGGGGACATGGTCAGTGCCTGGGCAACTGCTGTTAAAATTCATCTCATGTGGCGCAGCCTTTAATCCCAGCACTCGGGAGGCAGAGGCAGGCGGGTCTCTGTGAGTTCGAGGCCAGGCAGCGTCTGAGGGCTCAGCAGTACGCAATGGACAGAGACGAAGGACACAGGTCCCGGAGTGGGTGTTAGCGTGGGCTGCGGGTTCTGAGCAGAACGCAGACTTGAACCCTCGGCATCGGGGGCTATGAAAGAGGGCGAGGTGGAGAAGGCTGCTCTGGGCGGTGTGCCCAGTGTCCCCACTGTCATCACTGCTTGGCTCTGCTGCTACCTGTCTTCCCTGGCTTGGCCATAGCCCGGCGGGGGGCGCCCGAGGGTGACTGGGATGTGGGGTAACCCCGTGCTTCTCGTGTCAGCCATGTACTCGGTGGAGATCACGGTGGAGAAGGACAAGGTGACCGGGGAGACCAGGGTGCTGTCCAGCACCACACTGCTCCCCCGGGACCCACTCCCTCAGGGCGTGAAAGTCTACGAGGACGAGACGAAAGGTATGAGAAGCCAGGCTTGCTGCAGGGGCACTCGGCAGACCCAAGGCTGCCCCGCCAGCCCGCTCTCCCGGCCTGCGGTCATTCGGAACCTGGGTAGTGTGCTGGAGTGCAATCCAGCGGCGTCTCAGCCGCGGCAGAGCCCATGCCGGCCGCTGGGTGGGGGGCGCTTCTCAGAAGCCCGCAGCTGCACAGCCGAGAGAAGAGACCAGGGCCCCTGGCAGGGACCACAGCTTGTGCAAAGGCCCCGAGGCGCACTGGAGGAGGAGGGACTGTGCCCTGAAGGCGACTGGGCGGTCTGACTGGATGGGTTTGGGGAGGTGTAGAAGAGATCGGATTTTATGTGTCTGTGGTGCTGGACTTGGAATTCAGGGCCTCCAAAATGCTAGGCAAAGGCTAACAGCAGCGAAGCCATGCCCCAGCCTCTCACTGGTGGATTCTAGGTAGGGGGCGCTATCCTGACCACGCCCCCAGCTCGTGACCACGCCCCCAGCACCTCACTGGGCTATTCTAGGCTCCACCCATTACCACACCCGCAGCCCTTTACTGATGGATCCTAGGCTGCTATTTCCAGCTCTCCTGGCTGGTTTTGTAAGTGTTTTCCAGGACTCGGCTGTGGGGAAGTCATCTTGAGGAAACTAGGGTTCATCTAATCAGGGATGCTTTTAGCAGGAGCCATAAAATCAAGCTGGTCCCCATCCCATCCTCCTTTTAAGAAATAGATACATGTCCTGTCGTTCTCCTTTTTACTGTTTGTGCTTTACGAGGTTTGGTCCGTATAATTTTATCTACTTTCAGAGCATTCCGTTACCCCAGTGAAGCGCCCCGTCCCACAGGCTCTCACCCCATACCGTCCCCCTCTCCCACGCGCTTCCCGCATCAGGGCGGCAGGACTCTTTTGGGCGTTTCCCATCACGGAATCCCACAGTGTGTGGCCTTTTGCGCCTGGGTTTCTCAGCGAGCAGTGTCCTGAAGGTCCCTCCAGGCGGTGGCGTGTGAAAGCCTCCCTCCTTTCCTTGGCTGCTTGATAACCCAAAGTGTGAGGGGACCGTGTGTTTGGTACTGGACTTGCTTTTGTGTGTGTGTGGTGTGGCCGGAGTAGGACTTGCTGGCTCTGATGGATATGACTGTCTATGAAGGACACGGCCGCTCTCTAAGTGGCCGTGTCTCACCCTCTGACCTCCCACCATCCCCTCCCTCCCTCCGGGGACCCAGAACCAGCTAGACTGGACCCCGGTTGCTTAGCAACTGCAGGGGATCTGTTTCTTTGGAGACCGGATTCTCATCTCAGGAGCCTAGCCCTGGGGGAGAAATTTGACCCTGCCCTTTACCCCCAGTATCACCAAGAGGGGGGTGGTAGCCCTCCCCTGAATCCCGGGGGCCACCCTGTCTGGGACTCCGGAGGACTTTGCCAAGTTGAGGTCCAGGAGTACTTTGGGGCTGTAGACAGTCCGATCCCCTCGATGAGGAGACCCTCTCCTTACTTAGGATAACTCAGAAAGTGGCAGCCGGGCCTGCAAGTGCACGCTTGTCATCCCAGCACTGGGGAAACTGGGGCCAGAGGAGTCTCTCCCTGGGACTCGAGCTCATGGCAATCCTCCTGCCTCAGTCTCCTTGAGTGCTGGAACCACAGGCATGCACCACAGGAGCTGGCTATCACAGTGGGCGTCGTCCGCAGCCTCTGGGCTCTGTCCTCACCCCCCCCCCCAGCTAACTCTCTCCATGTGTCCCCACGCAGTGGTCCATGCCGTGGACGGCATTGCTGAGAACGGAATCCAGCCACTAAGCTCCTCCGAGGTGGACGAACTCATTCACAAGGCCGATGAGGTCACACTGAGCGAGGCGGGGCCCACAGCTGGGCCAGCGGAGCCTCGGGGACTTGCGGAGGATTCCAGCAGGACCACGCCGTCCAGAAGGGAGATCACAGGGGTTGAAGCTCAGCCAGGAGAGGCCACCTCAGGCCCACCGGGCATCCAGCCCGGTCAGGAGCCCCCCCGGTAACCATGGTCTTCATGGGTTATCAGAACGTGGAAGATGAAGCAGAGACCAAGAAGGTACTGGGCCTGCAGGACGCCATCAAGGCTGAACTGGTGGTGATCGAAGACGCGGCCACGCCCAGGGAGCCAGCGCCACCCAACGGTAGCGCGGCTGAGCTCCCAGACACCAAGGAAGAGAACCAGACGGGGCCCTCGGCCACCCCCAGCGACGCCCAGGACCTCGACATGAAGAAGCCTCGCTGCAGATGCTGCTCTGTCATGTGAGCCGTCGGGGCGCCCCGGTCCCCGGTCCCCGCCCTTCGCTCCACACTCCACCCAGCAGCCCGGCCCTCCCCGGCGCCTGCCCACCCCCGCCCTCCACCTCACGGGCCCCAGACACCTGTGTGTGTGTGTGTGGTCCCTATGCACCTCGAGTCACGGGTGGGGGGTGCTCTGCCCATCACCACACTCCATACTCACCCCGAACCACTGAGCCGTGCGTCTTCCCTTGGTGAGAGACAGGCCGACCCACCTCAGATCCCCTAAGAATGGGGACCCCCAACTCCAAGTCACAGCAGGTTTACACAGGCGGCTCATGCCCACCATGGTCTCCATCTGCTGTCCCCAGGCCAGCCTGTCTGTGCCTTATTGCTACTTTTGGGGAGTCTCCGAGGGGACCAAAAAGAGAGGGTCTCCCTGGCCAGCGCGCCAGCAGCCTGATATGGGCAGGTGGGGTGAGGCCACACTTCTTTGGAGACCCGAAGTCTGTCCTAGGGTGGAGGACGGGCACCTGTGGGTTCCCCCAGTAAGTAGGGGAGCTCAGAGCAAGGGTAACCCTTCACTGGGGATGGAAACATCACCCCAAGATGGGGCCATTGTCGGCAAGGCCCCAGATCAGCTACTCCCTGTCCTGGGTCCCCCCACTGTGCACACACTGGGCCCCTCCTCCTGGTGCTAATTTAGGGACCCTTGGAGTCACCTTTACCCTCTTCTCTTGGACCAGGGTCCTGGGTTTCCCACGTACCCCAGACCCCAGAAGGCAGGGGTACGGCTGCCAGCACTGCAGAGCCTAGCGTTTCCAGACAGGTTTAGGGTGCCCCACACACACCTTGGGTGGGAGGAGTAAGGGAATCCCCCGTCTGCTGCCTGGCTGGGCAGGAGCCATGGCAGGGGGTCCCCCACCCGCGGGCAGGCAGCAGCCACTTTGGTTCCAGAGGCGCTGCCCTGCACACAGACGCTGGCTCCACGCTCTCCACCCTCGCCGGCTTCGGAGGGCTACACCCGGTCCAGGTCCCTTTCCCTGGGACTCCAGCCTGGTGTTAGAGCTCCCTGTCACTGCCTGCAGCCGCTGCGGTAGGGCGCGGGACAGCCGCAGGGTCTGCGTCCTGCCCTTCCTGTGGCCTGGAGGAGAGGCACTCTTCCCTGAGGGGTGACCGGTGGCGCCCCTTCCTCTTCCTCCTCGGAGTCCGCCTGAGCCTCGGCTGAAGTGCCCTTGCTGCCCCCTTCCGCTTTTGACGCGCGACGAGGCCCCGCCCTTCACCCCCATGTTCTTGACTTTCCCAGAGAAACAAATTAAAAAGACAAAAGTGTGCGAGTGTGCGGAGCCAGACCGCTGCAGTTCTTGGGTTTCGTCTGGGCGGGAAGGGGTGCGGCCGTCAGGCGAGGAGGGCGGCCTCCTGGTGGGGGAGCCATAAAAAGCCCAGGCGCCGGCCGGCAGGACACAGGAGAAGCTTTGCTCACCTGCGGCCCGCTGCACCCCTCAGGGCGAGCCCCTCACTGTGGATCTTCCCAGGACCCTGCGGCACCTGGACAGGTGAGGGGCAGCTGTGGGTGGCCACCCCGAGGACCTCGGTCTTCGCATCTGCCACGCCCAAGTCCTTGGGCTTCGAGGTTGGGGATAGAGAGGTAGGTCCCCCGTATACACCCCACAAACTCTGTGCTAGGTTCTGAGAGTAGCGGGGACCCCATTTCTCTCTGTAGTCTTGGAGAAAGTTTCTCCTTTGGCCTCAGTTTCCCTATTTGTAGAAGAGCTGGCTGGGAGCCCTGTGTCCCAGCACACTGGCTATTCCTGGCTTCAGTGAAAAGTCTATTTTACCCGAGCTGGCCTCGGACTCACAGCAATCCTCCTGCCTCAGTTTCCTGAGGACCGAGATGTCAATCTGGGGCCCCTTTGAGACTCAGTTTCCCTGCGGAAGGTGGTTTGTACAGTCAGCACCTAGGATGTGGGGAGAGAGTTACTAGTTCACATGCCTCCTGACCTGAGGGATTGGATGTACCCCCACTTCTGTGTCAGCTTCTGCTTTACAGGGATGAGGGGGCCTGGGAGGACCTGGTGTGCCCACACCCTCTCCACAGTGGTGGATGACTCTGCTAGCACACCTGTCAGATCCCTTTGGAATCAGAGCTGGAGGACCACTGCCTGCAGCGAAGGGAGGGAGGGAGGGAGGGAGGGAGGGAGGGAGGGAGGGAGGGAGGGAGGGAGGGAGCAGAGAGTCAGAGGGGCCCCACAAGCCAGTCCTAGGGGAAGGTCGGGATCCCGACACTGTGTCTTCAGGTCCCACAGACTCCCAGAGCCACTTGGACCGGGGTGATGGCAGGTGCCTTGGCCATCGCCGATTATTCTTTGCACTGGGTTATAAGCCTCACCTGTCTGGCCAATGCTCCTGGGGATTTTATTTGTTTATTTTTGAGTTTGGGAGACAGGTCTCACTCTGTAGCCAAGGCAGTCTTCAAACTAATAGCAATCCCACAGCCTCAGCGTACTGGGTGCTCGGTGACAGTCCTGTTTCTCTGTGTGTGGTTTCCCTGGGTACTTCAGAAGGCTTCCTATTTCCTGAGAAATGAGTGAATGTGACCTGGAGAATTCCCACTTCCTGGATGAGAAGACAAGGCTCACAGGGTCAGGCAGGGTTCAACCCAAAGCCCCACTGTCCCTCCCAGAGGACAGCGACCCCAGACCTTCACCCTGAGTTTCATAATTCCAGCCACGGCACACGTGAGGCTGGAAACATCCAGATATGTCCCTTGGCCTGGTGTCTGTTGGAAGAGACAGGCGTTCAGAGGGTTCCATAAGCGCCAGGCTTGGGATTCAGTCTCCTCATTCCATTGGAGCTACAGGCGTGTGACCCTGGGCTGAGGTAGCCTCCCATCAGCAGGACCGGGAAAGGTGGGGAAGCCAGGCAGAGGCAGTTCCGGCTCTGTGGTGCCAAGGCCAGCAGCGGGCACGCTGCCCGCCCTCGTCTGTCTGAGTATCGTTTTTCGGTCTTCTCTGGACTTTGTTTCCCGTGTCTGGGTGGGGACGGGGAGGAGGGGTGCACCTGGTCCCGGGTGGGGCCTCCGTCCCCTTGGCAACATGTGGCCAGGGCGGAGCCCTGGGGGCCTACCTGCCGAGCGAGGACAGAGCCTGAGATTGGGAGGCGGCCTGGGCACCTGGAGCTGGCAGGTGAGGCTGGGGAAGCAGGGAGGTCAGAATGGGGGAAGGTGGGGGACTGTTTGCTGGGTGCCTACTAGCAGAGCTGGCTCACCTACAGGGAGCCCCCTCCCCAAGGCTATACCTCACCACCCTTGGCCCTGCCTGGGGCCCCACCACCCCACAATGTCCTGCTGGATCTGAGAACATCCTCTGTCACCCTCTAACCCAAAATAACTCCTGGGCCTATGTGGGTAAGACCTCCATCTGCACCCCAAACCCCAGATCACTGAGAAAGAAGCTGGAACCATAGGCACCCTCACAGCCGGAGGTCTGTGAGGCCCCATGGACTCAGGCCAATTTGAAGAAAATACAGGAGCTGCGGTCTGGCTGTTCAGGCTCAGGCAGGTCCAGGGTCTTGGGGTCAAGGGTCAGCCTTGGACAGGTTTCCCCAGGGCCAGCTCTCCAGGTGACAAGGAGGAGGACAGAGGACTCCTGAGGACACCACCCTATTAAATGACCCACTGCCCCCATCAGGAGCCTTTGCCCTGTAGGTACGAGGCCGAGCGAGCAGGTGAGCCTGCAGGACCATAAACCCAGTTTCTATAGGGAGCCACGGTTCCTGGGTGCGGCTGGGTGGAGCAGGCTTCCGGGAGGAGGAGGCCACAGTGGAAAGAACGGGCTTTGTCAGCTGTCCAGCTTCACCTCTCTGTTCCCTTCAGGGCAGGGACAAAATCGGCCCTCTTGTCCTTGAATAGGACATTGATGTGTGAGGTAATTGGTGGACAAGATGGGCAACAGACCCCTGTGGGGAGCTGAAGGGCTTGAAGGGGCAGACTCCGAGACCCCTGCTGGATTTGGCATTTCATTGATCAGATCTATAGCCACTATGAAGCATCTATTGAGTGCTTACTGTATACCAGGCACAGAGAGCCAAATAGGGTGTTGTTGCTGATATTATTTTTTTGTTTTGTTTTTGAGACAGGGTCTCTCTCTGTGACCCCAGCTGGCCTAGAACTCACAGAGATCCTCCTGCCTATGTATCCCAAGTGCTGGGGTCACGACGCCCAGCGGAACTCAAGTTTTATAGACCCTTGAGAAGGCTGCCCCTGAATCCCAACCCGGAGCTCCACCCTCTGGCCTGAATCACTGGGGAGGAATGGGGCCCCCACCCTAGGGCGTGTGACACCCTTTCTCTAGGGGTCGTGTCTGACCGCCCGTGACAAGGGCCGTAAAACTCTGTGCCCCCGTCCATCAGCACGTAAACATGAGTGGCAGCAGCCCTGGGCTAGAAGGTGGGAGACAGCACCCATGTACCGCAGAGGCCACCGGGCCAGTCTTTATTAAGCGCTTGCTGTATGCATTAGGAATATCCGCCCACACAGAATGGAATCATCCCATTCTCTGAGGCACTGTGAAGGGGAGGGTGAAGCTTGGGCAGCACAGGAAGTGCCCTCCCCAGGAGGACTGCCCGTAGCGCTGGGGAAGCCTGGCCACTCCAAAATGCAACATAAAAATGGTTCGAGCCGGGTAGTGGTGGCGCATGCCTTCAATCCCAGCACTCGGGAGGCAGAGGCAGGCGGAGCTCTGTGAGTTCGAGGTCAGCCTGGTCTACAGAGCGAGTTCCAGGACAGCCGCCAAAGCGAAACAGAGAAACCCTGTCTCGAAAAACCAAAAAAAAAAAAAAAAAAAAGAATGGCTCGAGACAAGGTTCAGGGGTGGAGCCCCGCCCAGAACCCCCAGCCAGGAGCTGGGGGCGTGGCTCACCTGTGCACACTTGCTAAGCTTGGTGACCTCTGGATGCAGCCAGGTTGTGACCTTGAGGTGGCTCTGCAGACTCCGGGAGACTGAAGAAATAAAAAACGAAAGCGGGTGTGAGTGCCAGCGAAGGAGCTGGGGGAAAGACTGAACCCCAGATACCAGGTCAGGGTGTCATTTGTGGCTCTGAGCCCTACCCAGGCCCAGGGACAAGGTCCAAGGCACTCCCAATTCTTCTTGGTTTTATGGTGCTGTGAAGATGGTACCAGGTGCTCTCGGGGGCAGAGATCCAGGTGTGTAAGCTGGGAAATGAACTTTGCTACATTCTCTGAGCCTCAGTTTCTCCACTTGGCACCATCAGTCTCCAAGAAACAGAGCCCAGTGGCCGTCTGTGAAGGTCAGGTGCAAAGATAGCAGATAAGTTTTCACCTGGGAATTAGTTCGAGGGATGAGGGTTGCTCCCAGGGGCAGGGAGACATCCACGGTGGGAGACCCGCAGAGTCTCAGGTGTGAGGCTGGCTTTGATTCGGTTTGCTGAAGACAGGGTAGGGACAGGCAGGATGGAGCCATCACTCGGCCTGCAGGCTTTTTAGATGAGTGGGCGGGTGTGCCCACAGGAGTCAGCCCGGAGCTGGGTGTGATGGCTCATGTCCGTCATCCCTACAGTCAGGTGGCTGAGGCAGGAGGATGATTGTTAAAAGTTCTGGCACAGCCTGGGCTTCAGAGTGAGAGCGTGTCTCGGGAAGAAAGAGGATGCAGATATTAGAAGGAAAATGTGTTTGTTGTATGAGGCAGAGGCACTCAAGGGTTTTGGTTCAATTTGATCAAGGAGCTCAGACGTTTTGGAGCGATGCCATGTTGAGGTTGAGATAGTTTTCAAGAAACATTGCCTGTCAAGGGTCTCCTGCAGCCCCCTGAAGCTATCCCTGTCCATAGGTGGTCTGACTTGGTGTCCTTCTCCTCCCTAAGTGAGCCTGGAGATCTCCAACCCCCGGGAGAAAGGTCACACTCAGACCCCTTGAGATGGATCGAGTGACCAGATACCCCATCTTCAGCAACCACCAGGCAGCACGTGTCACCAGTTTGGTGCTGGATGACAACTCCAGCTACACCGTCAAGCTGGTGGGTGTCGGGCCTGAGGCCGGTTGGAGCCAGGATCATCAGCAGGCCTGGTCCACTGAGTACCAAACCAGGCCAGATGTGAAGAGAACAAGTGTACCCTCCAGCAGACGAGTCTTTCTCAGCCAGCCAAGGTCACTGTACTCGGAGGATGAGGATGAGGAAATGAAGGCATACCACCTGGGGACCAGCGACGCCCTCTACGGTCAATCCAGGGACCCGGAGGCCGAGCGCTGGGCCGTCATCCACAGCCAGGCGGTCAGGAAGGGAGGCACCGTGGCCACACTCCAGGGAGAGCCCAGACCCGCCGGCCAGCCTCGGCCCGCGTCCACTGAGGACATCTTGGTGGACACAGAGCAAATTGATTTCCTGGCCGCTCGACAGCAATTCCTGAGTTTGGAGAAGTCGAACTCGAACCCGATTACTTGGAGCCCCACAGGCAGGGAGACCTTTGCCTACACCTCACCAGGGGTCAGCCAGGTCCCCAAGGCCTCTACCAAGCCCCACCTCGCTAACGGCTATGCCATCCCTGTCACATCACCGGTGAAGGAGGTGACTTTGGAGAAGACTGCCCATGTTTTCCCAGCCGGGTCCATTCGTGCAGCCAACGACCCTGGCCACGGGACCCGAGCAGAGTCCCCTGAGACCCCCAAAGAGACGCCCATCGAGAGAGAGATCAGACTGGCCCAGGAGCGTGAGGCAGAGCTGCGGGAGCAGAGGGGGCTTGGGCGGGCTGCGGGGCATCAGGAGCTGGTTCAGATTCCCAGCAGGCCGCTGCTCAACAAGGTGAGCCTGTCGGAGCCGCCCGCGGCGCGCAGAGACCGGGGCCGCCCGTCACTGTACGTGCAGAGGGACATGGTGCAGGAGACACAGCGTGAGGAAGACCACCGCCGGGAGGGTCTGCAGGTGGGCAGGGCGTCCACACCCGACTGGACCTCCCAGGACCCGCAGCCTGGGCTCCAGAGAAGCCTGAGCTCCGACTCCATCCTCAGCCCAGACGCCCGAGCCGCAGACCCGGCTCCAGAGGCAAGAAAGGTCAACCGGATCCCACTGGATGCCTACCAGCCGTATCTGGGCCCCGGGACCCCCAAACTGGAATTCTCGGCCTTTGGAGTATACAGCAAGCCAAATGGTGTCTCCACACAGGACACCAAAGCCATGGTGTTCCAGAAGGCCTCAGGATCTCCAAGGCATGTCTCAGAGTACTCTGGAAGTTCTCAGAGCTCAAAACAAGTGCGCTCGAAGCCCCCTGAGAAGCCGCAGGCGGCCAATGTGGGTATCGTGAAATTAGAGAATTTCCGCCTGCGTCCACTGCGATTCAGCGTCCCAGATGTCCCCCAGCAGGCTGAGACCTCGCATACCTGGGGTTGGGAGGTGGCCGGGGGCCCAGTGTTGAAGCTACATAAGTCACAGTCTTCTGACCTGCTGGAGAGGGAGATGGAGAGCGTCCTGCGGAGGGAAAGAGAGGTGGCTGAAGAGCGGAGGAATGCCTTCTTCCCGGAGGTGTTCTCCCCGGTGCTGGACCAGGAAGAGCCAGACTCCCGGAGCTCCTCCCAGGCATCTGGTGAGCAAGGATTTAGAGGATGGCGATTCTGTCCTAAGGTCTCAGGGTCGGAGGCAGAGTTTAAAACACGCCCATTCCTCCCAGAAAGTAGTTTCTGGAGAGAAAATGCCAACTTTGCTTTAGAGTTTTTGAATGCTGTTGTTGGGTGCATAGGGTTTTGCTTTATGGTTTTGAATCCTCTGTTATTGGCCCCATATAAGTTTCCAACTATTTATCTCCTTGATTGATTGCTCCTCTTTGGTTATTATTTTTTTAGGGGGGGTTGGATTTTTGAGACAGGGTTTCTCTGTATTGTTTTTTTTTTTGGTTTTTCGAGACAGGGTTTCTCTGTATTGTTTTTTTGGAGACTGTCCTGGAACTCGCTTTGTTCTCTGTATTGTTTTGGAGGCTGTCCTGGAACTCACTCTGTAGACCAGGCCGGCCTCGAACTCACAGAGATCCGCCTGCCTCTGCCTCCCGAGTGCTGGGATTAAAGGCGTGCTCTACCAACGCCTGGCTCCTAGTGTCTCTTTCAGCCAATGTGTCACGATGAGTTGTCTATCTGTCTGTCTGTTCGTCTGCCCCATAAGCCCTCCAGATTCTTGCCTAGAGACCCCGGGTCTCCTGAGTGTTGATAAACAGACCACCCTTTCTGCCCCCACCACAGGTGTCACCGGCAGCTACTCAGTGTCGGAATCACCATTATTCACTCCCCTCCAGCTGCACTCGGGGCTGGTGTGGAAGGTGCAGACCCCTAGCAGCCCTGTGTCCGGGCAGAAGACCAAAAGGGAGATGCGGGTGAGTGGGGACTACAGAGGTGTAACTGCCCACTACCCTGGGCTCAGGCAATGTCAGTAGACCGGGTGTCTCTTCTAGTCCCTGGTTTCTAGTCTGAGAGGACACACAAGCAGAGAACATTGTCCTTATGGTGGGCTCGCCCTCAGGGTCAAAGGCCAAAGGTTGATGAGGAAGAAAACACACTGACTAGTCATTACCACCATTTTTTAATTTATTTTTTGAGACAGAATCTCACTCTGTATAACAGGCTGGGCTTGAATCCCTTCTGCCTCTGCCTCCCAAGTGCTGGGATTAAGACCGTGTGCTGCTATGTACAACACCATTGTTTTTTTTTCTTGTCTTTATTTTTTATTTCCGAGACAGGGTTTCTCTGTATTGTTTTAGAGGGTGTCCTGGAACTCGCTCTGTAGCCCAGGCTGTCCTCGAACTCACAGAGCTCCGCCTGCCTCTGCCTCCCGAGTGCTGGGATTAAAGGCGTGCTCCACCAACGCCCGGCTGGTACCATTATTTTCATAAGTCGTGTGTGTGTGTGTGTGTGTGTGTGTGTGTGTGTGTGTGTGTGTGTGTGTGTGAACCCAAGTGCCACTGTGCATGTGTAAAGATCATATGACAACTTCCGGTTTGGTTTCTCACCTTCCTTCTTTGAGACCGGGTCTCCTCAATGCCATGTGACCAGGCTCACCCGCCCAGCTCTTTCAGGGACTCTCCTGTCCCTGCCTCTCACCCCCCACCGAACAGTGGGATCACAGACACCATCACCTTCAGCCTCACATGGCTTCTGAGGGTTTGAACTCGGGTCCTCACACTTTCAAGGCAGGTGTCTCACCCCCTGAGCCATCTCCCTGGCTCCCACAATCACGGGATGTACCACCCCCTGCTGGCAGGCTGCACAGCATCTGTGGGGTCACCAAGCTCACAAAACCAGCCGGATTTCAAGTGTAGTTACTCTCGGCCACGCTGGGAGGGACCAAGGGACACCACAGAGAACAGCAGACATCGGAGCCTACCCACCGGGTCTCACAGCCTGACTGCCATGGTGTGTGACCCAGATGGCCCCGTGACCCAGATGCAGGCATGTGGTGGCCCCACTGTCACCCACAGCCTCCTCTGGAAAATCAACATGATGATAACCATGAGCGTTCCCCCGTAGACTGCTGTTCGCGGGCTGGGGCAGGCCACGGGCAGGGGCGTGGTGCCTGCCGGAAGTCCTCACTGATACTCTGATGCAGGGTCTCTCCTGCAGGTCCAGCCGGCCTCTTCCTGGGGGCTGACCGGGATGGTGCGTGTGGATGACTCAGAACCTCCCCCATTAGTTACCGGGGAGAAAAAACACACACTGAGTAAGGAGTCTGTAGAAGCAGGATCTCATTTATTCCAACACGCAGGAACTTATATAGGGGATGGGAATCTTAGGATAGGGTAAGGTGACGTGAGGAGTTAACGGCCAATAGTATTCCACCAAGCAGGCAGGTAGCTAGGCAGGGGGCAATCTTACATCAGATCTGGCTGAGTCACCCCCACGTGGAGGTTACAGGTCAGAGACAGGTCACCAAACTCTAGCCAGGCTCAGGAGTTGACACTGGACCTCGCATCTGAGCCTTTCTTAGGACCACGCTCTGAGACTGTGTAGGACTCTGTTGGCCAGAGGCGGCCGTGAGTGGGACGGTGTGGCAGAACGGCATGGCACATGGGGGAGCACCGGCAGCTGGGCGTGTCTCCCCAGCTGGCCCTAAGCGATTCGGCCTTGTGAGAACTTTGAGGTGGGCACAGGGCTGGGCAGAGAGGATGAACACTGATTCTTGTTCTTGTCATGCAGTATGCCGGTATCAACCCCTCAGACCGTGTCAACTCAGAGGTGAGTGAGGTCCCCGACCATAGCGCTGGTCACTGAGAGCCTTTCATCCAGGTGTGAGGCTGCGCTGGCTATCTGATTGCTTGGTAGGAGTCTTCCTGAGGTAGACTGTGTTGTGCTCTGTTTGTGATACCTGTCATGGCGCAGGTTATGGCCAAAAAGTCTGTACGAGGCTTTTTTTTTAACAGAAGACAACAAGTAGAGCACAAAGACGCTTTATTTATTACGGTTGTTGTTATTATTATTATTATTATTATTATTATTATTATTATTATTGACAGTCTCACTGCATAGCCCTGGCTGGCCTGGAGCTGGCTATGTAAACTAAGACGGCCTTGAACTCACAGCCCTGCCTCAGTCTCCCGAGTGCTGAGATTATAGATGTGACCCTTCTGGGCTGAGGCTGGGCGTGACTTCCTTGCCGTGGAGCTCAGGAGACGTTAGCGGGCTCCTGGGACCCACTGTTAAAGGAGAGAGTGGGAAACCTCTGTGCCAGCCTCCTGCACATGGGCAGTGGGGAGGCAGCTGGGAATGGTCCGTGTCTCCCCGGGGACTCCACGCTTCTCCTGCGCAGGTCCTGGGAGCCACGCGAGTAACACGACACAAGAATGCCTTGGCAGAACGCTGGGAAGCCGGCATCTACGCCAGTGAGGACGAAGACTGAGACTAGAAATGAGGAGCCATTCCCTCCGTCCAACCCCAGCCCCATGGAAGCTGCCAGACCTGCCCAAGCCTCTGCAGTCAGTGGTAAACAAGTCCCTGTGTAAGCAAATGGCTGGAGAGTCGCCCAGGCTGATGTCTGTAGCCTGGAAATTGGTTCTGTTTCCCTGGGGTTGGAGTATTTCCTGCTTAGGGGTGGTTCTCAGCTGGCGCTAAAATGATAATTCTCCCAGGCCTCTGTGTACCTAAGACTTTGCCAAGTGCTCTGGGGTCCAAGGCAGAAACCAGACCGCCCACCTCGGAATGTACCGTCCTGGGGGCAGCGGGTCCAGGGCTCTGCCTTACAGCCGGTTTTGACCCCTGTGCAAGGGGCGCCAAAGAGTGCAGAGTCGGGACCTGTCACTCGACAGAAAGAAGGCTCCATTTAGGGACCCGCCCCTCCGGTCTTGCCAATCCCAGACTTATCCGTGTTGCTATGAAATAAACGTGTCCTGAGCTGCCTGCATGGGGTTTAGAGTGCACCACACACAGCCCCTGTCCGCCACCCCCACATTCGTCTCGGTGACTTCAGCCCTGTCCCCCCAGGACATGGATTCCAGTTGGACCAAGGTCCTGGGAGTTTGTGTGTGGAAAGCTGGGCACATAGGACGGGGAGGCTGCCATAGTGAAGGTGACGGACACACGTTCTTAGACAGAGAAGGGAGGGCTTGAGTAAGGTTAGGGTGGACATCTGCAGAAGGTGGGTGCTCTATTAGTCAGGGTTCTCTAGCGTAACATACCTTATAGAGTGAAAACACATACATGCATGCACACATATAAAGAGAATTTCTTAGAATGACTTACAGGTTGTGGTCCAACTAATCCAACACCGTAGTCTGAGAATCCAGCACTTGCTCATTCCACCAGGCTGTCTGCCCTCCATTTCTTGAAATTTTTTTTTTTGCTTGTTTGTTTCGTTTTGTTTTTCCAGTTCCTGTCCTGGAACTCACTCTGTAGACCATGCTAGCTTTGAACACGCAGACCTCCACCTGCTTCTGCCTCCTGAGTCCTAGGATCAAAGGTGTCTGCCCCACAGCTCACCTCCATTTCTGGACTGTAGTTCATTCCAGATGTAGTCCAGCTGACCACCAAGAGCAGCCACGACAGGGCCTTGGCCAAGGACTCTCTGCAGTGGACAACCTGTGTAACTAACTGTCCCAGGTGGCCCCGAGGAGCCGTGGATGAACAGGGAGGGTGGTGTTTCGCAAGGCCCTCTGGGAACAACTGGAGACAGTCAAATCTGTCGGTCGCTCCCGGCAGCTGTCGATGGCAGATATCTGGAGGTCTGTATCTCTAAGGTCCCCACGTGAGGTGCATGGAAGATGTGGGCTGGAAACAGCTAGACCTGAGGCTGGACCATCCCAAGAGGGCTGGGACTGGAATGGGTGACAGACTACAACGTCTGGATGGAGGCAGCCTGGGAGAGCAGGTCAGCCTCTTCCCACAGGATCCATGTGGGAGGTCAGATACCCCTTGGCTTGTGGCCTCTTCCCCCTCCAGACTCGGCAGCATGGTGTCTCCCTATCTCTTTGCCTCTGACCCCCCCCCTTGGGATCCTGTGTTGACGCTGAACTGAGAATGATCCAAGATGTTCCCATGACCAGGGTCTTCAATATGAGCCATCTGCAGGGTCCCTTTTTTTTTTTTTTTTTTTTTTTTGGTTTTTCAAGACATGGTTTCTCTGTGTCGCTTTGGAGGCTGTCCTGGAACCTAGGCTCTCTGTAGACCAGGCTGGCCTTGAACTCACAGAGATCCGCCTGCCTCTGCCTCCCGAGTGCTGGGATTAAAGGCGTGCGCCACCAACGCCCAGCTTGCAGGGTCCCTTCTACCACAGAAGGTGACAGGGCCCCAGCACCCAGAGCTTCTGTGGTGGGAGTCTCTGGAACCTTCAGTAGGATGTCAGGACACCCCTCTTTTTCATCGATCAACAATCACCTTCACTTAGACTCTCTGTGATGGACTGGGGAGGTGGTTCAGTGAGCAAAGGGCTTGACACACAAGTGTGGGTACCATGGGTGCTCAGACCTGTGTAAATGCCAGGTGGGCGTGGCCTCTCACCTGTCATCCCCACACAGAGGAGCCAAGCCAGCTGCCCAAGTCAGATCCGTGAACACTGGGTTCACAAGGGACCTTGTGTCAGTATGCAAGGTGGAGAGCCATTGAGGAAAACAATCTGGTTTCTACCTCCAGCCTCACACACCTGCGCACACACATGCACCCACACACGAGAAACGTGCATGCACACCTGCACACACATGCACCCACACACGAGAAACGTGCATGCACACTCATGTGCACACACATGCACCCACCACGAGAAACGTGCATGCACACTCATGTGCACACACATGCACCCACACATGAGAAACGTGCATGCACACTCATGTGCACACACATGCACCCACACACGAGAAACATGCATGCACACTCATGTGCACACACACACGCACCCACACACGAGAAACATGCATGCACACTCATGTGCACACACATGCACCCACACACGAGAAACGTGCATGCACACTCATGTGCACACACATGCACCCACACACGAGAAACGTGCATGCACACTCATGTGCACACATAAAAAGAGAAAAGCCCCTTCCGAATGAGTCGCCCTTGCACATGGCGCTTGGCCAAGGCTGTGGTGTTAGACCCTCGTGTGGCTGCCTCACACAGCCTTCTGCAGATGTTCTCTCTCCGCGTGCTCTCCAGGCCTCAGCACCTCCCAGAAGCCTTAGGGGCACAGAGGCTCCTGAGGGCCACCTCTTGTCTGGAGATGTCCCAGGCCTGGCTCAGGTGACCACAGGGTGCACAGGGCTGGGCCCTGTCCCCCTACAGCCCAGGAGAGATCGTGAGCTCACGCCACATCCCCTGCCTCTCACCTGTCTCTTCTGTGTCCCCACCCTGGGACATCACGTCTCCTCCCATCCCCGCACCTGTGGCTCAGGCCTGACGCTGCCCCTGTCTAGGGTGCCAGGGCCTTCGGGGCAGGGTCTTTATCAGCCTGGGCCTGGCCCGCCGCCCCGTCCCGCTCGTGACAGGAGCCCCCTCCTAGGTTCCAGGCTCCTGCTTCTCTCTGCGGGGCCCCGGGAACCCAGCCACTCTGAGGAGGCCGAGCACAGACAGGCAACTGAGGTCTCAAGGCCCTGGGTCTCCTCAGGTGCAAACTTAGGTCTTTGGGGCTGTCTGAGGCTGGAGTGTTTTCTCACCTCTAACTAAGAGCAAAGCCTGTGTGATATCATGTCATATCTACGAGTTCTGGAACAATCTGTGTTGCTAAACATGGAATAAGGACCGGCGCGATGGACAGAGCACAAGCCACGGAGAGCACGTTAACCAGTTTATTATAGTGAGACCAAAAGGGGGGGCAGACACGACAGAGAGAGAGGACGAGAGAGAGACGACGGCGACAGACCATGAGATGATGAGAGTCAGAGAGCGTGAGCCGGCAGGGCTCAGTCCTTTAAAGGGGTCCTTCGCACCTGCGTGGGTCTCACGGAACTCTGGGCTGGCCAGAGCGCTGCCTGAGTGCATCCTGCCAGGGAACAGGGCAGGCCAGCGCAATGCCTGAACCTTTCCGTCTGTCCGTGTCAAAAGGAAACCCCAATGCGGGAGCGTCACCAGCTAGTCTTATGTACCAGCCAGCTCCCAAATCATGACAGGGAGACTTATTATTAGTTATGAATGCTCAGCCTGGCTTAGGCTCTTTTCTGACTACCTCTTTTAACTTAACCTCTCTCTCCTTCTCTCTCTCTGGATTTCGTGAGACAGGGTTTCTCTGCGGCTTTGGAGGCTGTCCTGGAACTGGCTCTGGAGACCAGGCTGGCCTCGAACTCTCAGTGCTGCCTCCCCAGTGCTGGGATTAAAGGCGTGAACCACAGGCCAGCCTAACCTGTTCCTCTTCACCTACCTTTTGCCCTGGGCCTTTTACCTTTCGTTCTGTAAGTCCGCTCTGTGTCTGACTGGCGCTCTTTCTCTCCTGTTCTCTCCGTTCCTTCCTCCTCTCTCCTGACTCTCCGCCCTCCAGTCCCACCCACCCTCTCCTGTCTCACTATGGTCTGCTCGCTCTTTATTAGACCAATGAGGTCCCCAGGCAGGCAAGGGGGAACAAACACAAAAGTCTTTTCTTAATTAAACCAATGCAGCATGGACAAATGTAGCTTGCCCTACACAGTTAAGGTAATATAACGCGTCAGCTTACGTGAAACCCTCAAGTATGCCCCAGGTGGGCTCGGCAGATCAAAGAGGATGTGTGATTCCCTTAGGGTCACAGAGCCAATCAGCGCCTGGAGCATGAGGCCTGAAGTTGGATGTGGGCACAAATAGCCAAAGGTCTTTTGAAAGAAAAAGACAACTAACCAAAACAACTCAAACTGGCTTTGGCTAACCCAGGGTTTATTGGTTCTTGTAACCAAAAAGTGAAAGTAAACTCAGGCTGAGCTGAATCCACACTCCACTTCCTGTCGCCTATCTGAGAGCTCAGGCCAAGCCGGGCACAAAGTCCCAACCCTGCCACCCACCGACTCCTTTCTCCCAGACTCCGTTTCCTCCTCGATGGGGAGCGGTGACTACGCTCCGCTCCCAGAGTTTGATGCTGGTTTCACCCTGCACCTGCACCGGGCACACAGTGCGGAGCCTCTGGAGTAGGGCCAGTCAAGGACCAAACAGCGTTTGCACACGGCCACTAGAGGGAGGCAAACACCAGCAGCCGCGGCATTCCCGCTGGGCAGGGGACATGTCTGCTGAGATGGGATGGGTTCCCTCTCTGGGGACTGAAAGGCGCCCCCCTCCAAATACCCAGGGAGGCGGAAGCGCCACAGGCAGAGGAGCAGCCCCGGGCGCACTCTCCTGCACAAAGTTTAATGTTGATGTGGGAGGGAGGGCTTGCAGGGTGTACATGAGCAGATTCTTTCGGACCTATTGAGTTTTTTGTTTTTTTGTTGGTTGGTTGGTTTGTTTTTTCGAGACAGGGTTTCTCTGACTTTGGAGCCTGTCCTGGTCCGATGTGGAGGGCAGAGGACGTTTCTGTGGAGTGGGCTTTCTGTTTCCACCCTGGCATAGGTCCTACTGGTGGGACTCAGGTCTCTGGCTTGCACAAGAACCATCGCCTGCTTAGCAGCAGTCATGCCAGCCTGATTTTTGTTATCCTTTTTTTTTTTTTTTTTTTTTTTTTAACGAGACAGGGTTTCTCTGTATTGTTTTGGAGGCTATCGGTCCAGCCCGGCCTCGAACTCACAGAGATCTGCCTGCCTCTGCCTCCCGAGTGCTGGGATTAAAGGCGGGCGCCACCACCGCCCGGCTTTTGTTATCCTTTTTGTTTGTTCGCTTGTTTGGTTGGTTGGTTAGTTTTTCAAGACAAGGTTTCTCTGTAGCTTTGGAGCCTGTCCTGGAATCTGCTATGTATACCAGACTGGTCTCGATCTCACAGAGATCTGCCTGCCTCTGCCTATCCAGTGCTG